ATGGTCCTGTTTTGCTGGATCGTTGAAGCTTTTCCATCAGCGCATCAAACTTCTTCTTTTGGCGATTAGTTGCTACTGCTTCGGCCACCATCATTCGGTTAGCTGTTAATCTATCCACTTTTCCCCAATGAATCCAATGCGTTTTGTTGGCTAGTTCTATATTGACAGGTAAGAGTCTACTGTCAATATGTGCAAGATCTCGGCGGGTTTCATGTATCCGTTCCCGTAGAAGAGCTCGTTCCTTGCCTCCCATACGTACATGGAGTCACGGACAGGATGGGCAAGATACTGGATTCTGCACCAATCTGAAAGATACTACCCGAGACTCACCAGAGAGGCCATCGAAATATTTAAACACCAAAACAACTTTAACAGAAGAAATTACGGCACTCAATCCAGATTGGAAGCGCGTTTTGCGTCAAACAGCGTGTGCGCCTAAGCATTTGAACCCCCACCCATCCCCCACGCATGAGCACACACGGCTGGGCTGCATAAATACGACGGGGAATCCAGCAGTTGAATCAGTCCATAGAACAAGGCTTACCACTCTTAGTGGGAAAGCACGGGAGTTCACTTCGCCCACTGCCTCATCGCCTTTAATAATATCTACCGCACTTGTGGACGAAGCGTCAGGAAGAAATTCCCATAGACCACGGCTTCAAAGCCCGGAAAACATTCCTAAATGTGATTTAACCGGCCGTGAAAGCCTTCATAGTCTGAGTAATTTTGACTTTTCGCAACGCCACCATCGGTATAGTTGAACTCGCCAATAAGAAATCTAACTTTATTCCTATTGAAGTTTACTAATATCGGGATATATTTCGGAAAGGAAAGAAAAACGGGAGATGTTGACTTGTTTTATAGAATCCAACAGACTAAAAGTTGAACGATGGAATATATCAACCAATCATGATTGCATCATGCAACTAGCTGTTCACGAGTGCTTTTAGCAGACGCACGTATTCTAAAATCAAAACGTTTAACTATAAGTTACAAAAACATATTATTTGAGAATTTCGAAATTTGATACAAAAAATTATTAGATTACCTGTAATTATATAGATGCAAATGATCATTGTAGACAACTTGATTTTAATAATAAAAAGTTATTTGCATAGTAGATGCTAATGCTTTTTTGTGGTATTTCATCCATGTCTTTTTTGACCACTTTTCCGAGGCTCGGAAGCTCAGAATTTTTCCTTAAGGAATAATTGCGATTTGCACTGCTTACTTTGCGTTACTTTTGAATGGTTTCAGCTATTTTCAGTTAATCGGTGATACATTTTAAATAATTTAAGGCAACTGTCTCCACCAAAACAGGAAATAAACGTGAGCAGTCGAGCTTCGAAAAGTGGTTGAAAACGCATTTCCAGAAGAAACGCAATTAAAAAAGTCTTAGTAAACGCATATTCCACACCGTCGGTGCAAACTGACCATTTAAAATTATAAAATTTGTCTTCTAAACAAACCCGTAAAATATGTTCACTTCATTATGAAACACCCTGTATATTATTAAAAACATTTTCGGGCGGATAATATCAAAGTATATGTGGCAACAGCGCCTGGCTTTTAAACAAACGTTTGTGATCGTTGAATTTCGGGATTGTCACAACTGGGTTCGTTAAATTCCGGTACAGCTGATTGTCAGATTACAAACAAACCGCAAACTTTCATTTTTTGTATGTAATTCATTTCGTGTTTACTCTCTTTGCGGTAGAGTCAAAACGCGTAGTTCGCATAATTAAAGATTGTCGGAAGGTTCAAAGTTCCAATCGTGACTGGATACTTCCTAATCAACGGTTGCTAATTATGTGAAGTTTCTCCGTTCGGACTCCAGTTTCATTGTTCACATTTGCAACTCGAAAATGGCAAGCAGTAGTTCGAATATTCACGAAAATATTCTGTTCCAATCTAGGTCTTCAGATGTAAAGCTTCAGATAGTGCCTGTCCAGCAGAAAAAGCTGAACCATGTTACGAGGCGAGAAAAAGTCGGACTCAGTTTCTCCAACTTGAGTTTCACAGTCAAACAAGGAAAACGTAAGTTGTAAAATTTGCTGTACTTTATTAACATTGCTTCCCTGTGTGGGTATTGTGGTTCTACTATATTACTGGATATTTATTGAATAAGTATTCGAAACTTGTGTAACTTTAGAGGTACTTACAAATACAACAACTTTATAAAATATGTAGATTTTACAAAACTTTGAAAGTTGCACAATTGTCTTGAAGAGAACAATAATTTATTATGTCTTATCTATATATAATAAACTAATCATATATTCTATATTATATGTATTATTATTCACGTATATTATTCACAGCTCAGTTCTCTAGTTTTTATGAGAACCACTTTAGTGTCCTAAATAAATAAGCACCTATAACTACACCTGTATAAATCTATGTTCATGTTTTATTTCGCTGGTTTTGCGTCCCAATTGGAAAATTAAAGTGAAGGTAGCAGGTGTGGGACAATGATGAAAACGTCACAATTCAATTATCTGCCGACGTTTCGACCTTTATTGGGGTCTTCTTCAAGGCTCGTATTATGTGTGAACGTTCTGTCTAAGTAGATTCATTGGAGTGAATGTATCCCCATGGCAAGATATAATACAATACACCTATTCTTGGTCGATGTGTCAATGAACCATCGCTTTCTAGAAAATGGTGATGTGAAAAAGTTTTACTCAATAACTTTCATGTAAAAGATTTAATTAATTTAAGCAACTTCTTTTGTGAGATGGTGAATTATGCTACTCAGTCAAATAGTTTTCCTATTCTGGAATAGATTCTTATGTTTCTAACTTCCAAAATATTTAAGTTCCAGTTTATTGACCGATATCGAATAATTGCAAGATGGTTGATTTTCTTGGAAATTTTGTCTGAGCATTGGTTAAGAAAAAGAAAAACTTTTTTAGCTACCTAGCTTTCGGCAATTTATTGACGCCTTCCTCAGGGTGCTAATTGTTTTAACATAAGAAGGTTGGGAACCCTCCAGAATACTCTATCATTTTTTTACAGCCTGATGAAATATACAATGGAATCACATTGTTTGGTCATAATTTGTTTGTCATGGATTAAAAAACATTTATTCAACGATCAACATGTTTTCTGCAGAAATAACGGGACAGACTACAATAAATATAAATTAATGGTTAGCTGAATTGATTTGATTTCCACATTTCAACATTAATCGCGACTGCGATGTTGTTTCGAAGTTGCGATTAATGTTGAAATGTGGAAATTAAATCAATTCGATATACCGGGCCTTCAGCTCAAATCCTTATCTTCCAGCAGATTTAAAACATATTTATAGTAAAATATAAGGCGGTACAACAAAATGACCACAACTTTTTGGTCACTCTATAATTGTACACACCAAGATACCTTTTCTTGGTAGATGTCTCAATGAACCATCGCTTTCTCGAAAATGGTGATGCGAAAAAGTTTCACTCAATAACTTTCATGTAAAAGATACAATTAATTTAAGCAACTTCTTTTATGAGATGATGAATTATGCTACTCAGACAGATATTTTATTATTATATTATATTATATTATTATGTTTCTGACTTTAAAAATATGTAAGTTCCAGTTTCTTGACCCATATCGAATAATTGCAATCTTGTTGCGAAGTTGCGATTAATGTTGAAGTGTGAAAATCAAATCAATTCGATGTACAGGGCCTTCAGCTCATCATTAACTTGTATTTAGTCTGCCCCGTTATTTCTGCAGAAAACATGTTGATCGTGAATACATGTTTTGTGTAAACCATGACAATGAAATTATGACCAAACAATGTAACTAAAAGTTTAAATATTTCATCAAGCTGTACAAAAAATGATAGAATATTCTGGAAGGTTCCCGGCCTTCTTATCGACAAACAATTAGCACCCTGAGGAAGGCGACAATAAATTGCCGAAAGCTTGGCAGCAAAAAAAGTTTTTCTTTTTCTTCACCACTGCCCAGACCGAATTCCCAAGAAAATCAACCATCTTGCAATTACCAAAATACTTACTGATATATTTAGTTTCATATTAAATAATAAGCGAGATTATACGTTGTATATTTACCTATGTACTGGCAAAGTGTATTTGCGACTGCATAATGTGCAACCACAATTTCGATATACATATATCTAATCTGTGGTGCATCTGCCAAAATAGTTTCAAATCGAGATATAGAATTTGTGACCACTTTTCCAATTTGTGAAAAACATCAAAAATTGATTTTGAAAGGCAATACGTATCTCGATGATATCACTGTCTTAAGCAATTCAAAAGTATCATGCAGGACAAAAAATCAATTGGAAAATGAGTTTATTGCTTACCTACCTATGTTATGCTGTCACGGAAATTCGAAGAACATTGTATTGTATATGGACGGGAAAATGGACTTCTGTTGGGTATTTCAAAACATTTACGATTGTCGGCATACAGGGCGTCAAATTTGTACTTTTTTGTACTTGGAACCAAGGACCCGGACCGAAACGAAATAACTGTTCCTTTCCGGTTTCGGTCCAAGGCGAAATTTAAAATTTCGGTTTAGAAAATAATTTCCAATTCGGTTCCGTTCCGGTTCCGGTTTTTTTTCGGTTCATTTCGGTTCAAATCTATATATAACAACGAACGAGGACAAATATACTCTAATTAGGAATCTCACTATCTTTTTCTTTGCTTGTTGTATTATACAAGATAAAAGATGCGCAAACTATCCACTGGTTCATACGGTACTTCGGCTGGTTGTATGGTAGGGGGTAGGAGTGTAGGAGGACTAGCAACCCCACACAAGGATTGAAATTTAGGTAACATTAAATGGAACAACATTGCAATAAAGACTCCCATATAAAAATTAATTTAATCGTTATATTGTTGAAAAGTAATTTGTCAATGAATTTTCTGACTTTAGCGCTTTTCTCTTCTTTCCGTTTTCAATCAGGTCCACAACTTCGTCAATTCCTCTTCTTTCGCTCTTATTTCCGTTTAAACATTGTTCTTCCTGGTTCATGTCTTCACCATCTTTTGAGGAGTTGCTTTTGTTCAACATTTCAATTTCAAATGTTTCTTTGTTGGTGCTCAAAAAACTAAAATAATTCAACTTAAAAAAGAATTAAAAAAATAGTGTATAAACGTACGGTGTTTGTTCTTTTCGATTGAAAAGTCGGTTGGTCGTCACAAATAATTGTTCCTCTAAAAATTTTTCTTTAATATGTGACCTCGAAGGCGGCAACAAAAAGTTGAGTCCTGAGAATAAACTCTCAACACTAACTTGAGTTGCCGGTACTCTTAATAATAATTGAGCAAGCATGTATAACTCGGGATTAAGCTCTTTCTTTTCCTTCCAGCAATCAAAAATCGTTTAATTTTTTCGTAAGCGTATGCGGCTTTGTTCCACTTTATAGGAATTTAAAATATTTTCAATTTTGTTAAGGGCAACAAATGAACCTTGTGAAGAAAATTCGTTCTAATTAATTCCTTTTAAAAATTTTTGCTGTGAATCTTTATGTCTCAAAAAGACTTTCATTTCATTGCTTGATGAATTAGATGATTCAGTTTCCATATCGTGTTGGTCAGAGTCATATTTAGAATTAGAAGAATTGCACTCTTTTAAGAATATCTAGTTCTAGTCCATAACGACTTTAAATGTGCTTTTGCTCTTTCTACTTGATTGTCGTCTAAAACTACCTTATACCGAGGGTCCAAAAATATCCCAGCAAGGATTATTTTTTATTTGCTGCTTGTAAAATGTACAGTAATTTCTTTCAAACGTTACAAGCAGAACCGAAAAAACCGAAATAAAATATTTCGGTTTCGGTTCAGCACCTAACAGTGTGTTAATATCAAATATGGGTTCTGTTACGGTTCCGGTCCAAATAAAACTGTTCCGTTCCGGTTTTGGGTCCATATCGGTTCCGGTCCGGGTCCCTGCTTGGAACAGGCTGCATGCATTAACGAAATTCACTAGACCGGTCTGGACATACTGAGGAAAACTGTATCCGACCGCAAGAAGCAAATTTGCAAGACATTGTACAAACCTATCGACAAGATAATGCATGTACAAACTACGACTAATAAACAAGAAATCTTGAAAATTGTCAGAAAATTTTATATGGAATAATTTGGAAAATATGGGAAATTCTAAGGATATGAAAATTGTAAGGAAATAGGTATTATGATGAAAACAACAGTAATTTTCCTAAAGTACAAAAGTATTCGATAATATACTAGATATTACCTTAAACGAAATGAATAACAACTTGAAGAACATAAAGAACAATAATTTGTCTGGTGACGACGATATTAGTGTTGAAAATATCAAAATTAAAAAAAACGCAACACAGGAAAAAGATAGACGAAAATGTCTATGGTAGGTTTGGACCACCATATGCATAATCGATTGATGATGAAGGGGTTTTTCAGCATAAGGAATTCAAATCTGCCATTAAATTTTAAAAAGCTTGTAAAAGTGCCACTTTCTGCGATATCTGTACAATGTCCAGAACTTTTTCGTCAACCTGTATACTGACTTAGCTAAGTGTTTTCCTATTAACGTACAAACCATCAAGGTATGCTTGTATCTTTTTACAAATTTATCGAGCCACTATTTTCAAGAAATTTGTGATTAAACAGGAAAATGCAGAACTGTGGGAAATGCCAATGTAATTACTTAAGTACGATGACTACTGTGTTTTGTTAATCCACCGCAGCGATTCGGCTTAAATGGTTGACTGCCTCTAAGTAAGTGATAACAATTTTTCTTACCGAACTTTCAGTTTCAATTGTAATACTTAATTTTTGTCGCAGTGAGCAGACGGCGAATGAAAACTGCTATTGGCTTAAGCAAATCCTCAGTTTTGCGTATTTTTTAACAAACAAATTTAAATCTTGAGCGTTTTATGACAGAGCAGAATTAATTATAGGACCATCCACCAGCAAGAATGCAATTTGCTAATTTGTTACGAACTTTATGGGGTACCTATAATAATATATTTAACCCTCATTTAGATAAATAAATAGGCAGTGCGGCTTAAATGAGAATTATTTTCTCGACCTGCATGTTTTATCACCAAACGTTGAAGGCAAATTGTTATTACCTAATAACTTTGATATAACATAATATGATTTTTCTTCAAGGTGGCACACCAGCCCATTTCGCTAAAAAACTTACGAATTACCTAGACCTACATTTTCCAAATCGGTGAATTGATCGTGGGAGTCCTTGGGCTTAGTCGACTTTAACCCATTAGTCTTATGTGCTTGAAGTTATTTAAACATATTAGTGCATACTCAAACAATTCACACACGAGAAAATTTACTAACTATGAATATTAATTCCGCCAAATAATTATGTAAATATTTTTTTTTTCTAAATTAATGTGTTTTATAAAGTTTTCTGAAATGTGTTGATATTAACGGGGGACATTCTGAGCAGCTGCGGTCGAAAATGTTTTATATTCTTTAATGTCTCTACAAAAAAATCCTATTGCTAAAAAATATCGTTTTCTGGTAGAATTAGTAGGCGAATAGACTTAAGTAATTTTAAAACTCGACATACAGGGCGAAGCAAAAAATTAGGGTCATTTTATTGACACAGAAGGGGGTTTATTTTTCCAGTTTTTCAAAACCCGACAATAGATTTGGATTTTTGATTATCAAAAACCTCCGTAACTGTGTTAAAACATGCAGCACCGTACAAAGTACAGCGAAAGTTACTAAGTAAATAAAAATTAAAACTAAGGAAAAATAAGAAAATTACGACACTCTGTGTGTCGACAACCGTCAACTTTTTAACTATGGTGAGTTCAATTAAATTCTCACTGCAAGAACTTTCCAGTTTGTGTTTACTACAATTTTGTCATACTACAATCTTGTTATATTACAATCTTGTTATACTACAATTTAGACTCTGTACAGATCAGATAGCACATGATGATCTTCATATACAGGGTGTTCCGTAAATATGTTAAAATATTTTAACAGCGTGTTCTCCTAGTCATTTTAGAGCGGGGTCTTCTTGAGAAATTTGATCTCCAAAATGGCGAAAAATTGTAGTTTTTGTTGTTTTTTTTTAAACGGTTAAACATATAATCTTCAATTTTGGTATAGATTATAAGCTAATTGAGTGCCATTCTATGTTAGTGTTGTGTAGTTCAGTGCTTTTATATAGGATAGAAATGTGGAACCCTTATTTTTGTTTTGTTCAGAACTTTTTTGTGTACACCTAAACTTTTATCAACATAGTTTTTTTAATTACTGCAAGTTATTTATCAACTTTTTTATCTCTTATTGTTTTTTCCTAAGACCACTAGTTTGCCCGCAAAAAATAAAGGATGTTTGTGAAACATCGATGTTTTTCTCCCATCCCTATATGTAATACATGATTATTTAGTTATCACAAATAATGAATAAATTAATAACTAATAAATTTTATTTTTCAATATTGACTCCAGTAAAATTACCACTTTTCGAAGCATATGTTTTATTTTGTACCACTTGATTTTATCAAAAAAGTTTAAAATAGAATTATGCTTTCATTTTTAACAGGGAATCATCCTGAAATTTATGGAGTTTTTTTATATGTCCTGTTTTCAAAACGGTGTGAAGAAACCTATTTAAACCAGGATTTCCCTTGTCAAATTCAGTTTGGTCAATTTTGTCAAATACCGTAACAGTCATCCTGCTAAGTAAGCTAAGCTGATTTTGTCCAACATCTCAATATTACTGCTTAAAGTGAAAAATCAATTAGTGCCCACCTTTTATTTGCTTTTCCCTTTTTACACAAAAATTTATTTTTTTCAATGCTAAAAATGTGTAATTCCATATTATACAAAATTCCAATCAAATGTAAAATTTTCAAAATGGTACATGCATTAATATCTTAAATGACTAAGACCGCTTTCAAATGATTCCATTTCCAGTGTCTCAGATAAAACAGTTCCGTGGGTAATTAAACTTTGATGAAATTAGTATCAATTTAAAACACAATTTCACGTTAATAACCTGTTATCAGAGTACATACAGTTCAAACGTCTTATAATTGACGTCAAACATGCATGAAAATTATTCTTAACAATTGATATAGACAATGGATTTTGTACCTTGTCGTTTCGAACACATGCTCATCAATTGGCTGGTTAATTATCGCTACTTCAAATAAAGTTTCAATTATATTCAGTTCGATGTTCATAGGTTGAAATTGGAAAGGGATTTATTATTGTGAAACACCTTATTTATAGCCAATTAAATAGAAAATGAGCCAAAACCAGTGATAGGAATAAGCTAAATAATTCAACCAATAATAATAAAAACAACTTTGCTTGGTATTGCAAGCCTTTATAACGTACAGTAATTGTATGTTACCCAACCACTGATATTTCAACTTTCCAATAGCGAAAATTGTTCTTGTATGCCCATCAGTTACCAGTTCGGTGTTATTATTTACCGCCCAATAGGCATGGCAGAAAAGTTACACAAATGCATGTTTACACAAATAATACCAGTTGTCTTCACAGAATGTTCGTCTTTCAGATTTCTCATTGTTAATAAATCACATTGTGCAGAACTAGTTGTTATTGCATTATCTGCGCTCATATTATTCAATATTACTCTTATTTTTATTGCTGTTTGTTTTGTTTATATTTTTAAATCTACAATTGTTTTTCTAGTAATTCAACAATTTGCTAATAAAGAATAATAAACGAACGGTTAATTCTTACAAATTATCGATTCAAAACTGCATTGTACAAATAATCAAATAATGGTAATTTCGATGTATTGTACATAATTTGTTATTCGAAGGTTAATTCCAATAATGGATTTTGCCCCATAAAATGAAAAAAAAAATGTGTATTTAAAATCCCATCAAAAATATACCATCTTCTCATTGTCATTGTCGTTTAAATGGCTGGAAGTTAATTTGTAACAAAGATTTATTTTAAATACTTAGTTGCGGTTTCTCAAAAATATTTACGTAGAACGTTATGCAATTTTTTTTGTATAAAATTGTATTTGATTCTGTTTAATGAGTGTGTAGCAGTTGCAGTTAATAATTAAACAATTTCGATTAACCATATCAATTATCTTTCAGAAGACAAAGTGATCCTAAAAGATGTCAGCGGAAGAATCCGACCTGGAGAACTTACCGCCATCATGGGACCCTCCGGTGCTGGTAAATCCACTCTCCTAAACATCCTCACTGGATATAAGTAAGCTTTTGTTTTTCCCTAATTAAAAGAAGCACATGACGATTTACTTATAATTTAATATTAGCGCTTAACCCTTTGTTGATATGCAACAAAATCATCTATTAAGTCATTTTCAACTCTGACACCAGACTTTTTCTTCTGAATCTGATGATGTTTCAACAGATATTTTAGCCCATAAGTCCCTGACTTTAACTTTGGACTTCCGGGCGCAGAGGATGCTCGGCTTTTTGGATTTTTCGACCGTCGTTGCAAGTGGATTTCTTTCCTTTTAGGCAAATCATGTGGAGATGATACCGGAACGAACATATGGCTCAAGTTTAGATAGCTACATTTCCTTCCATCGTGGATATATTTTTCGATGTTTTGGGTATGATGGAGAATAAAACTATACATTTTTGAATACTTATTTCTACTTGGCACAGCCGGATCTGATGGCAATAAGTCCACATTTTCAAGCAAAGATGTTTTCGCAATTTCATTGCTTTCATCTAGACTGTTCATGGCTTTTAATTGATCTGTACATGCCAGGCTTTCTTCCCTGTAACCTATTAAAATTTTAATGAAACACTCGAAACTGTTATTCATTGTTAACACTTACCAGCCGTCCATACCTCATAAAGGTCTCCTCGATAACCTGTTGATTCATCCCAAGATTTGCGACAGTTATATTTTATCCATTGTTCGATTTCTTGGGCCGGAACCGAATCGATCTTTTGTGGTCTTGGGATTAAGTTCCAACGTAAACTATTCAACAATAATTCTTGACTGGGAGAATTTTGCATAAGCTACAATGTTGAGATCAAATTAGAGACTTGCAGAGGTACAGTAGTCACTTACTAGATCATATGTGATTGACTTTTCTTCATCGAGGGTCTCGACAACGAGTTTAGGCTTAGGGACTTCAGTGTAGTCGATGAGGAGACGACGTTCGGGGTTATCTATCGGATAACAGTGAATGTCTTAATTCAGAAATTTTCTAAACGAGGAAAATATCCTCTGTGCTGGATTTTGCCGTTTTTACCTGGATGCATAAAGGTGTACAGTCGATAAATGATTAAGTATATGTACATGTATCTTAAAATTTGTGGTCCAATTAGAGGCGACTCTTGAATAGTAATTGTTAATTATACTTTTTTTAACCGCTTATTTGACCAAAAGTAGTTAATTAATGGCGATGTGAGAAATTAATATCGATTTTTTAATTACTTTTAAATAGGGAGTGAACCGAAAGTAGGTGGCAAAACTGCATATTCTTTGATCAAAAAATTCATACAAGTAGGTACACAAATGCTTAGCGTATGAGAAGGGTGTGAAAAGTAAATTTGGGGTTTTCCTAGCGCCTAGTGCTCAAAGATACTTATGGTCAGTTTTATCGTGCCAGCTTCTTTCGTCGACAGCCACTGGTATTTTACTTTGAAAAAAGTTAATTCTCCATTGTTGTAAGTTAGAAAAGTTTGGCGTTTTGTATTGTTGTTGTATCTGTCGTTGTATTCGAGTAACTTAATGTGAGCTTTAATAGGACAAAAATTAGAGCAATCTTGTTAAAAGATGCTACCTACCAAAATGACAAACAAGTAATTGCAACAAAAACAGTAAATACAGTTTACATTAACAAGGATTCAATAAAGCCTATTTTATAAGTTATGAAAACAAAAACAAGCTTTTATTTTACTACTACCATGTATATGTCTAATTTCCATTAAGTGGCCCAAAGCTCTGATATGATGATGATGTATTCGTTTAGTTTCACAGTTCCACTTTGACTTTGAGAATTTTAGCATTCCAAATAGGTATTCCTAAGTTTTTAGAAAATATTGAATCCTTCGTACTTCGCTTTTTAAGCTTTGTGTATTAAGCATATTTCGACTAAGATAACAGCATATTAATACACAGAGCATTCGATTGAAAGGAGCAACTGTTACGAGGGTTGAGTACCCAGACTCAGACCCTAGGCCTATACCATTCATACCTATCTGGTCTCTTTATTTATGGATGTTTTATGTAAAAAATGGCATCTGAGGTAGGGATTGGACATCGATCCTATAGCATCGATAGTTGCATACAAATTTCAAATTGATGAACTTAAACTTAAATAATTTTATTTTACTACTACTATGACATTTTAAAACAATGCATTGTTAAATAATCGGCTAAATTTATTCAACTTATAGTTGCCACATGTTTCGGTCAACTAACTGCAAAAAGAGGCTTTTTTCGGGTGCAACTGGAAATGGGCTGCTATACCGCGTATATATCGTTTGTATCGGCACCATCAAAGAGTTCGCAGAAAATATTTCTATCTATTATCAACATCAAATGTCCGATGTTTTCATTTCAAGATCTAACATCGATGGTAAAAATATCGAACATCGAACGAATTACATCGTTGTTTTCAAAACATCGATGTTTTTCTCTCATTCCTCATGTTTTAGTGAGTTTGGCCAAGCCATAAAATCATATTTACGTTTGTTTAAAATTAATCATCTAGATCAAGGATGAGCAACACGCGGCCCGTTAAACATATTTGTGTGGCCCTCCAGAATTTCTAAAATTGAATTTATTTTATCGACTTTCTCCCATCAATATATTGATATAAAATTAATTATAATAAAATGGTACTTAGTACATACTAAACCGAACTATTTTTTTGTGACTAATTACTCACTTCTCGGCAGCTTATTCAAACATGCAAAACAATCGAGCCGCATCTGCACGATTTTTGGTGACGAGATACTCACTTGTCGGCGACATCTTATGCAGAATAATGTGTCTCACTTTCCACATTTAGAAATCCAAAAACTTGCTTCTCAAAAATGCGCACAATATATAGACATTTTAATCAACAAATTTGAAGAATAATACCGTATTAAAAAACGTATTTTTCTCAGTAAATATCGATTTTTTTTATAAATCTTATGTGAGCCCTGAGAAATTTCCGCTTTCGATCAAAAATGCAAAGAAAAATGACCACCGATCAAAACTGATGCACGATTAGAAAGCTGCGCATCAATTTCGGCTGAAATTGATCAGCATTTTTCGAAGGAACAGTGCCAAATTTCTTACTAAAAATTTCAAGGAAATTCGTTGTTTGGTTCTTCTCTTTTTTTGTTTTTATTTTGCATTAAAATTTGTATTTGAATTCTTATATTTTTTTATTCTAATGTTTATTATAAATAAAGTTTGGACAATTATTATTCACCCTTGTGAAAAAGGTTGCTCACCCCTGATCCAGATGATTGTCGAAATATAAAAAAAAACGTTTTTCTAATTTGTAGTGCAAAAAGTCTGATTAAAATCGGCATTTGAGCTAGGTTTCACGTACCATATAACATGCTGTCTATTACGATTTAAGTGCTATTATTTGTCGGAAAATATGAGGTTATTATCGTAAGCAATTTGTTATTGACGTCAAGTGTGAGGTGTAAAAAACAACTTTGCATAATTAAGTGGTACCCAAAGAATACCTACAGTATAAAGTATCCACATTTTAGCTCCGTGTTTATTTCCATGAGTCCAAAATGTACTCACCAATGGTCAGGCAATTCGCGCCTTGAACCAATTTGCCGTTCCTCCAGAGTTCTTCAACCCTATGGCCCGCTGGGTTTATCAGCATGCCCGTCCCATGAAAATCTCCGTTTCTATTAAAATAACCGTCGTAGATGACTCCATGTGGATATCTGTAAACTCTTTCATGGAAGAATATTACCGATAGGTATTATCTACATTCGATTATAGGTACATATACAGATTACTTAGTTTAATATTTTACAGCAGAAAAAATGTGAAATGAAACCGGTGTAACAAGGCTTAGGACTTGTTCTTATTTCAACCTTACTTCGTTCACAAATCAATAGCGATCGAAAACTTACCTTTTCCTGCCATACCTAATCGATTGTATTCCCCGATATACTTGCTTCCCGTACAAAATGTTTTCACGCTTGTCTGGTTGATTATTAGGGTCGTCGACTTTGGAAATCGTAGCTCCTTCATATGTAAAAGACGACAACTTCTTCATAGGTAGTATGGAATCTTCATCAAAGTTAGTAAGCAAGAAGCTGCTCCGCTTTCCCATCCTATTGTTAGCCAGATATTCTAATTTTATACTATCCGCCCGATAATTTTCCGTATCTATTGCGATGGAGCCTTGGTAAATATGTTTGCTTTGCATCAGGGATTCCACTGGCAATTCTACGTGTAACGACCCGAACATGGGCATTTTTCCAGGCTTTGGAGGTGAGTATGTAAGATCGTCGTTCATCTTGTATTCATGAGACGCTTCAAACTTGAGATTTTCCTTAAATCCCCGTTCTCTCCCCGATTGTGCTTGATGTGACTATGGCGGCATGAAGAAATTTATGTTCAATCCCCCACTAACACCCACTTTTATGCGCAAGCGATATTTCTAAATGATACCCGAAATGACAAATTTCTGATTTTCTCTGACATTTTCGTGAAGATCACGGGTACCATCAATAAATCTAACAGGTGTAAAAGGTAATGTTGGATTTTCGGGTTTGATATCACGTGTTGTTAAAAGTTATTTACAAATTTCGTGCAAGCTCCTTATTTATAATCCCACAAGTTCGTAGAGTGAGCTCTTTCGTCCTATGTGATAGATGATCTGCACGTATTATGCATTTTCCTTCTTGATCTTAGGCGAATCGCCTGTTCAGTTATCGTTCACTTGCGTGAGGCTGTCGCTCCATCGTTTCCTGGGGCTCCCAACGTTTATTCGTCCCATTGGAGACTTGTCACAAGTCTGCGGTGGTCCATCCTGCTTATGTGCTCATTCCATTCCTTCTTCCTGTTTGCTACCCATTCATTGATGTTCTTGACATTACAGGCTGTTCTGACATCCTCGCTTCTCTCTCTATTCAGCAGTGTCTTTCCGGTGATTCTACGGAGTATTTTCATCTCAGCTGTCTCTAGGAATCTTTTGGTTTTCGCTGTTTCTGGCCTGGTTTCTGCGCTGTATGTCATCACCGGCCTGACGACGGTTTTGTAGATCCTCGATTTAGTGTCCGTTCCCATACTCTTATTGCACCATATGGCATTCAGACAGCCAGCTATTCTAATTACTTTTGTTGTTTGATCTCTTACCCCTGTCTCAATATCCCCAAAGCCGGAAAGTTCCACGCCAAGATAGTTAAATTTAATTTTCTGCTCGATTACTCTACCGTCAAGTTCCAGTTTGCATCTTAGAGGGTTTTTTTGATGTTGTGAAGCACTTTGTTTTGGTCGGTGATATTTCCATATTTAGAGACTTGGCTGTCAGGTTGAATAAGTGTAATAACCTTTGTAACTCATCTTCACTTTCTGCAATGAGAGCAGCATCGTCAGCATAACACACTATTTTGATTTCTGCATCCCCCATTTTGTATCCCTGTAGCCCTCGTACACTGCGCACAATTTCTTCCATTATTAAATTGAAAAGGGTAGGGCTCAGAGAGTCTCCCTGACGAATACCGCTACCCGCTGGTATTGGTTCTGTGAGGTCTCTTCTATTTGTGCTCGTATTTTATTGTTTGTATATATGTTCTCTATGATTTTAATGAGATTGTGTGGGATTTGCCTGTTGTAAAGGAGTTGCAGGACGCCTTTGAGCTGGACACGGTCAAATGCTCTAGTCAGATCAACAAAACATGTAAACGTTGGCTTGTTGTATTCAATCGACTTCTGGACTATTTGTCTTAATACGCACACGGCGTCCGTGCAAGATCTTCCGGATTTGAATCTCTGTTGTTCGTCGGCCAACGATGTAAGATTGTTAATTTTGTTCGTAATTACTTTAGTTGTTAGTTTTAGAGCAGTGTTTAAAAGGTTTATTCCTCTATAATTTGATGGTATTCTCTTGTTCCCTTTTTTGAACATTCGTACAGTAGTGCTGGTTCGCCATTCATCTGGGATTTGGTGATGATATATAATTTCTGTATTAAAGTTGTTAATTCTTCTGTTAGTCCTTGCCCACCGTATTTGAGCAATTAATTTTGTATACCGTCTTGCCCGGCGCCTTTTCCATTTCTTAGTTTCTGTAGTGCGTTTTCTACGTCGTATGTATTGATCGTGGCATCTTCGTTAATAGTTATTTCTGGTGTGGTAGGCTCGTCTGCCGTGTTTGTCGTTTTATACAGATCGGTTAAATATCTGATCCACTCTTTCTTTTTTATGTGGGTTGGTTCTATCATTTCATTCACCTCCTTTCTGTGCGATCTTATCAATCGCCATATCTGCTTTTCAAGCCCGTAGAAATCACCTTCCAGGCGGTTGGAAAACATTTCCTAGTGATCGTTTTTTATTTTTCTCATTAATTCTTTAGTTTTGTTCCTAAATTGCTTATATTCATTATACGATTCTGGCGTTCGCACAGTACAATATTTTAGGTAGGCTTTTCTTTTTTATTTGCACTGTTCCTTGGCTGCTGTTGATTGTGATTGATGTTCTTTTATTTGCACTGTTCTTGTGGTTGATTACGTCGTTCCCTTTTATGGTTCGTTCTCCAAGTGCCTCCCTTGCTGAATTATTGATATTATTCTTGATTATTTCCCAAGCTAGATTGATGCCGTTAGTATTTAAAATCGGGTTTTCTTCGATTTTTTTTGTAATCTATTTTTGTATAGGTACTTTATCATAGGGTCTCATAGCAGCTCAATATTGAGTTTCTGTGTTGATATCACCGGTCTTGGTTGTTTTGGTATTCGTATTTTCAATTTAATTCTTTCGAGTAAAAGGTTATGATCGCTTCCTATATTTTCCGAATTGAGCGTTCTGATTTCGAGTATTTCAGTTGGGTGAAATTGCCTATTAATCACAATGTAATCGATTGTCGATGTTATGGCCTCTGTTATTTGCAAATGTAAATTATGAATTTTTAACAGAGCAAATGGAATTTACTCCTATTACTGTTATAAATCAGGCAAAATATTTATTAAAAAATTATGAATCAGGCCCAAAACTTTTATTTAAAATTAACCTTTTAGATTTATTGTCAATTAAATTTGCGTTGATTTCAATTTTCAGTTAAAAACTTTTAAACTGAAATGTTTATAGTTTTTGGAAAATTTAGCAGAAATTAAAGGGTATGAGTTTATAATTCTGCGATATTAACGGAAAATTTTACCTCTTGTTATACAGCATAGCATTTTTTAAATTTGTTTTCACTTTATCTTTGATTTTCTCTCAGGATTAAATCCTGTTGCCACGTCGCTGTATTAAAGTAAATATAATTTTTATTTGACATTGAAGAAATATTTCTAATAATTGGGAATTTCAAATGGAAATATATCTATCATATATAAATATTGACCAGCTTTTTCATTGGCACTTTATAATTACTTGCATAATATGTCGATTTTATTTGTTGTTAATGTGATTTATATGAATAATTAGTGACATTTATTAACTCAAATATTATGGAAAATCGGGCTCTCCTAAACGGAGAGCTAAACCTTTCGGTTAGGCCGGAGTTTTAAGCTTACTAGAATCGAGAGAGGCGTCAAAATTCCGAAATTGTAATAGATAATTATGTCGCTTATTCTTCTCTTCTTCTTCAGCCCGTTTGAGTCGATCTACACTGTGCTGCGAGAATTCACTTCTTTCCTGCTCATCTATGTATATCATCTCGCCATCTTAACAGGGGTCTATCTATACTTCTTTTTGTTAGTCGTGGTTTCCACTGCATGATAATTTCTGTGCACTTTATATCATTCCGCGCGACATAACCCGCTTATCGCCATTTACATCTCACACTTTGTTTCACCGGGTTACTGACTTTAGTTTTCGCCCTGATGTATTCATTCGTTTGCCTATCTCTCAAGCTAATTCCGAGCATTTCGCAGTCGTTGTGCGCTTTTCTTAATTTGCACTGTCTGGAGTCCATACAACATGACCGGTAGCACGCACGCATAATACACTCTTTGTTTTAAGTTTATTGGTATTTTAGGTTATTTGAGGATATGTGCGAGATTTCCGAAACCCGCCCAAACCAACCTAATTTTCCTCTTTTTTTCGGCTGCCTGATTGTTCTTGCCTAGTATTATGTTGTGCCCAAGATATATATATTCTTCTACAACTTGAAGTGCGTGGTTATCGATAGTGGCACAAATGTTGTCTGGGCTCATAATATTGTTTTTTGAAGTTTCATTTCCAGGCCTACCATTTGTGATGCTTCCCTCAGGTCGTGTAGCATACTGCTAAGCATCCTGCGTTAGTGCTCATGAGTACAATGTCGTCGGCAAAACGGAGATAATTTAAGTATCTTCCGTCTATGTTGACTTCCTTCTGTTGCCATGGCAATTTCTTAAGGACATCTTCCAACTCTAGGGTGAATAATTTTGGAGAAATCGAGTCACCCTGTCTAACTCCTCTCTGTATTGGGATCTTGTCCGTTATTGAGTTTCCATCTATTGACATGGAGCGTAGCATCTTTGTAGATGTCTCCAATGAGGCTTGTATATCTGGAGTGTATCCTCGCGTTGCTCATCGCATCTAGCACCGCCCATGTTTTCACTGAGTCGAATGCTTTCTGGTAGTCAACGAGTGCGAGGTGTAACGGGACATTGCGTGTGCACCGTTTGAATGTGGTCCAATATACTAAAGCCACTCCGGAATCCAGCCTGTTTCACGGGATTTTTCCTTCCTCCAGGCTGTTAAAAAGGACAATCAGTGCTTTCCCAAGAGCTTTACCTCCGTTTTTTTTACAATTTCTACTGTACCTTCTCCTGGGGCCATCCGGTTCTTCATCTGCTTTAATGCCATTTTAAACTCTGCAGTGTCAATTTCTGGGATATCCTCAGAGCCCACATTTTGGACTACTTGAATTTTCGACCGATTTGGTTTAGGTACCTGATGGCTGTAAAGTTCCTGCTAAAAATGCTGGATGGTTGATGTTATTTGCTGCCCCTGTAACAACTTCTCCTTGTTGGTTCTTAATTTTGTATGTGAGCGATTTTTCTTTTGTTCTTTTCGATCGAAGTACTTTCATATCATGTTGTTCTCGATAGATTTGTTTATTGTTTGTGTGTTATAAAATCTCTGGTCCTTTCTAATTTCCTCCTTTACTTCTCTATCCAGCGTTTGAAATCTTGCTGAATCTCTATCCGTTGTTCTGCGTTCTGCCAGTAGATTATTGGTGTTTTGGCTGAATTTCGTATCAGCTCTTGCTTTCATCGAGGATACTGTCTTTGTAGCTGCCTAAACACTGCCCACGATTTTTCCATTCGTCATTTCTCAGGGCGTCTGTTGGTGGTTCCAATTTTTTGTTGATTTGTCCGTTGTACTCCTCTTACTCCTCTATTAAGTTGGGTCGCGGTTGTCTGAATGATGTTCTATATTCGTTTTTTCCTGTCCAAGTGTGTGTTTTTATTTATTGCGGCTTGTACAATTCTGTGGTCACTTCCGGTGTTAAAACGACTGAGAACCGATACATCGGTGCAAAACTGTTTATCTGTAGTGAGGACATAAACTATTTTGTTCTTCATTGCGCCATCTGAACTTCAAGTGCACTTTTTTAAGGCTGTTTCGTAAAGAGTGTGTTCATGGAGCATATTTGTTCTTTGTTCAGGAAGTCAAGCCACGTCGGTCTTCATAAAATTGTTCGGCGTCTTCGTCTGTTGATGTGGATGTGGGTGCGTATGCCTGTATGTGTATTTTGTTAATTCGCAGCATAATGTAGATACACGGTCTGATATGGCTTTGATTTTAGTGACAAGATGTTTTATCGTGCTGTTGACCTAGATCGCCACTCTTCCTACGTGGTAAAACTTGTTTCGGAATTTTTGTGAAAAAGCAGATGACCAGATTTCAAAATCATATTGGCCTCTCCTTTTATTCTGGTAGCATGTACATCCCACTTGATATTTTGGACTTCGTTTTCTAGACTTAGTAGGTGCTCTGCTAGTCTGTCTCATTGTGCGAATGTTGTATGTTAAAACTAAATTGTTCTTGTTGGTTTTTAGCTTTTAATTTGGTATTGCCGAAATTCTGCCTCTCCCAGAATCGTTGAGGCGGTCTGATAAATCAATGCGTCATTCTGAGCGCTTAGCTCTACTCGCCTGGGGTATTTCTGTACTGGAATTCGACATTTTCATTTTTGGAAGAGGGTTTGGCATTTAAACGCCCTGCTTGCCGATTGGGTTGGCGAGATTTTATTTTTATCCGCCTATTCTGGGTCAGACGCTGTTTGTAGCCGCTCATTCTGAGACAGACGCTACTTTTCTGTTGGTCCGCGAGCGGTATTTCTTTTTTCTCCCATATCTTGGGGGTATTTCCCTTTTCGCCACCTGGGGACGCGTCCTCTAGGGGTTACATGATCCCCCGAGGAATTATATCACACATGATTTCAACTTGTGTTATAGTTATATTAATAGTGTTATCACACTATTGATGGATTAGTTATATCAGATATTAGTAGAAAACTATTTTTTAATTGCCTCTTACCTATTGTAAAATTGGTTTAAATAAAAGTATTATGTATGCTGTAGCATCTGGAGTTATTTTTTGTATATGTTGCTACCTCCTCTCCCGCTTGCATTAAGAGTCTTTCTCTGAAATGTATTTTTATACATATCGTGGGTTTAAAGCTAGAAGTGACCAAGTCCGAAATTGCCGTATTTGTTGATCAAGTAATTAAAAATATATACAGGGTGATTCAAAATTGGCGTCATTCCTCTGGAGGTGTTGTCTGGCGCTGTTATAGGAGTACTGAAAAAATAGTAAAATAAATTAATTGTTATTAAAAACTGAGAAATTTGCAAAAAACTATATCAGAAATACGGCAGCAATGTTTTTCAAGGTAACCTGCCTAATTAACATTGCGCAAATAC